GCAATGATGGTGATGATGATGATTGCTGTGCAAAAGGATACCCTGTTCTGAAGGTCAAGTTCAGGTTTTGTCAATTCTTCATAAAGTTGCTATAAACAGTGGTGATCAGATTCTTGTAGGGATACAAGTTTAAATTCACATGGGTAAATAACCAAGTGTGAATACTGAGTCATATGGTAAGAACATATTTAGTTTTGTGGCATGTAGATTTCTTTTTTATAAGATGTATTTATTTATTATGTATACAGTGTTCTGCTTGCATGTATTCCTGCATGCCAGAAGAGGGCACCACATCTCATTGCAGGTGGTTGTGAGCCACCATGTGGTTGCTGGGAATTGAACTCAGGATCTCTGGAAGAGCAGCCAGTGCTCTTAACTGATGAACCATCTCTTCAGCCTCTGGCATGTAGGTTTTACATTTAGAAATTTTATTTATCTGGGGTTGCTTTTTATGAAACATATGTGATAATTAAACACACCCCTGCCCCTGTGGATAGGTTTTTATGGCAACACCACCATTTATTCTAGTACTTAGAAAGCATCGTCCACAGACTAAATAATACAAGGTAACTGTGTGAGTCTGGACAAGTTAATAACCCTCCCTGACTTAATGAAGGGGGGTGGGAACAGTAAATGGCCGTAGCACTGCTGTGAAGGTGTTAACTGTATGATTAAAATACTCTGGCAAAAACAACTTAGGGAAGAAATGTGTCTATTTTATTTCACAATTCCAGGGAAGTCACAGCAACAGGGGTGTGTGTCACTTCGCAGGAAGGGACAGAAAGAAATGAGTGCATTCATGCTGCTAGCTTGTGCCTAGCTTGACTTCTCCACTCTGATACAGTTCAGGACTTCCTACCTAGGGCGGCTGGTTAGTACCACACTAATTAACTAAATTAAGACAACTCCCCCACAGACATGACCACAGGCCAACAATGTAGACAGTCTCACATCGAGACTTTCCCTAGTGATTCTAGGTTGTGTAGAGTTGACAGTTAAAACTACCCACCACAGAAGGTGAGAGAGAAAGAGCTGTTTAGACAAGTAAAACAAAACAGTCTGTGACCTCTTTCAGTGAGAACACGATGATTATTCTTTTGGGTTTTTTGATTGTTTGTTTTCAAATTGAACAGGAAGGCTCTCGTGCGTGCTAGTGTTGTGATGTTCAAATCCACTGGAAGAAATCCCAGACTTAGACTCAATTCAAATTTAGATTAAATTAATTTATTCTGACTGCTAGTGGAAGGATGGCAGCCTTAGAGCTGATACAGCATGGCATTAGGAGGTGGGGTTTAAGATTAGGTTTTAAGTGGACATCAGAAAGGTGTGTATTCTAACTATCCATGGAACCCACAGCTGGGCAGGAGCATTGTTTTACTTTCCTCTATTGTTTCTTACTTTCCTGCTATATAGTAACAGAAAGACCATTTCATCCCTTTCCCGTAGCAATGGTGAGTTTCACAGAAACAAGGTCAGCTGTCAATACCCGTTATCCTAGTCCTAGGCCCTTATAGAATGCCTAGCTCCATATTACCTTTCTTTAGTCATCATAGGGGACCTGAGTAAAATATTACTTAGGTCTGAGAACACTAATGACTGGGATAGAGCAGTTCATTTATGGGCAGGCAAAAACACAGTGCCCTCAGGTTAGGGCTGTCACATCCCCACACTAGGTAAGTGTTCTCTATGCCTCCAGCCTCATGAATACCCTTTCTGAAGGCATGAAAACATCTTTTCACCCTAAAAACCACGGGATCTACCAAAAATTCTCAAACCATAGATCCCACATGAAATGTAAACCACAATGATCTATGTTTCCAGGAGAATTTGAGTTTCAGTAGAAGCAACAAGAAGGCTAGACTAAACAGTTTGGGAACACAAAAGAACATGCATGCCACTAATCAGAGGGTAAGCTCCCCGAAAGCAGAAAGACTGTGTTCAATCCTTCCTTTTATGTTTGTTACCGCGTGGGTATTTGTGATGATACATGTGTGGCACATACATGGGTGCCATGGTGCATGTGTGGAGTTTGAAGGACTTTCATGGCAAACCTGACCTCACTTTAATAAGCACAAAGACTAAGCTGTTAAGTTACATCTAATTAAGTCAATTGCTCTCGCCTCCTTGAGATTCATTGGCAAGGGAAAAGATAGGGAGGCTAAAGAAAAGGGAATCTCTCTTCTAGTCTATGTTTGCCTCAAAATATACCTTATTCTTGTAAAGAATCTGTGCTACAGTTATGTTCCTGTCAAGTATAATTTGTGAAAATTACCCCCATCCCAGCAAATTTCACTCTTAGTAGGTGTAGTGCTGTAATCCTAGCTACTTGGAAGGCTGAGGCAGGAGGATCACAAGTTCAAGGCAAGCCAGAGCCAGAGAATGAGTTCAAGGTCAATCTGGACAATTTAGAGAGAACTTATCTAAAAATGTATGCATATAATAAATAAACAGATGAGGTAGCTCCAAAGGGGCTCTGAATTTAATCCCAGTAAAAGACACACGGAGGTAGGTATGCACAGCAGTTTTCCTTTGGATACATTTCTCTTCACCTTGCTGCAATTCTGCAACCTTGACCCAAGAGTAAATGATAATCTGGAAACCCTTTGGGGCACACTGGAGCTGCTAAGGGATGTAGGCTGCTAGCTTGTCTTCAGCCAGTCATCCAACATTAGAGTCATCATAATCAGAAGGCAGATCCTGATGCAGGCAGAGAATGTTGGATGGTAGCCACCTAGGATGAATTGTTTGCTTTCTGTTGCTGTGATAAAACACTGACCAAAAACAACTTGTGGGAGGAGAGGGTTTATTGGGCTTATATGTTCCAGTTCACAGTCTAACTCTAAGGGAAGTTAGGGCAGGAACTGAAGCAGAGACCACAGAGGGAGCAGCTGAATACTGGCTTGCTCAGTTTACTCTCTAATACAACCTAGGATCACCTGGCCAGGGGTGGCACCACTCACAATGGCCTGGGCCTTTACACATCAATCATCAATCTAGCAAATGCCCTAGAGACTTGTCCCGATCTGCAGGACATCAACCTGGGCAAAAGAGTCAGTGATAGGGAATGGGGACAAGAGATGCAGAAAGAACGACCACAAAACAGGATTCTGATCAAGTGGCAAACTATTTTTTTTTCTCAGGCTAGCTTATATAGTCGGCAGAGCAGGATATGGGGAGGGGTAGAACGGGTTGTTTGTGAGCTAGGTGTTAGTGTAGGTAGGATATTAGGAAGCCACAAAGAGGATGTTTGGCAGGGAAAAGAATTCATGAGTAAGAGGTCCAGGAAGGGTTGCCTAGGTGACTGAGCCTGCAGGTGGAGGACTGGGCCAAGTTGTTTATTTTCTTGAGCTGAGGTTCTGAGGATCTGCTATGTAAAGGTTAATATACAACTATATGGCCTGCCAAGAACGGCCTAAGATCTCACGCAAAGCCCTGAGATTTTTGGCTCCCAACATATGAGACTTGCCTACGGGCCAGTCTGATGGAGGCATTTTCTCAACTGAGGCTCCTACTCCCCAGATGACTCCAGCTTCCATTGAGTTGACAAAAGAATTAACCAGCACATATTGATCTGTGCTCTTAATCTCTTAAGAGGGGGGCTGGGTGTGGTGCTACCTAATTCCCTGAATCGTGGATCCTACTTATTCACCATTAATTAATTTTTAGGATGATGATTGACGTTTTTGGATCAATTGTACAATAGTTTTCTCAGTTTGAAATTTCTAATATTCCCCCAAAACTCTCTTCAGTTCACCAGGTCACATTTAGTGTTAGATCTTTTAAGTGTGAAGACACAGCAGTTCAACGACCAGGATTCTGTGAAGAGTGCCCTCCTCTGGGCTCCTTTGCCTTTGGTTTGGGGTGGGGTGCTTCCAGTAAAGCCTGGGGGGTGGGAGGTGTAGAAGTTGGGGCTAGCAACTAGACCCCAGTAGATGACAGAGATCACCAGGCACTTCTTTGGACAGTCAATGTGAAATTCTTCTTTGTTATTAATAACTTTGTTATTAAACAACTGGGATGATGGTGGTGATGATGGTGAGGAGGATGAGGACGATGATGAAGATCTGATATGCAAAACTTAGTTTAATAGAAGTTAAGTGAATGCAAAAAGAAATCAAAAGGAAAGGAAATGACTGCTCCTAAGCATGGCGGAGCAGAAAGTTTATTGTAGTGGGAGAGCATAGCCAAAGGCAGGGACATCTGACAGAGTCCAGAGCGGTCATGACCAGACTGAGGTGGGTCACGTGGGAAGAGGAGGACGAAAATGGGGAGGAGAGAGAAGGGAACCAGGTGCAGCAGCCAGGAGGCCCAAAAGAGTAAACGGAAAAGCCAGGTAACCAAAAAATATAGCTGATTGTGTAGGGAAGGGTTTAGGGTGGGGGCGGGGTAAGCGAGCAAGGAGGACCATGTAACAGGTAGAGACTGAGGGATGCAGGGAGAACCTGGTAGTCGGTGTCCGCTCTGATTATATATTAAATAGGCACCTCAGACTTTTGTCCCAGGTTTGAAACCTAACCTTAAGCAACCCCAGGTTTTAAATCCTTGCCCTCTGATTACAGTTTCTTTCAGGGAAGCCCCATCTTTTGTTATCTGATTGTGCGACTAGTCTGCCTTGGGCAAACCTGGTTCCTTGCGGTTGCTATTATCACTACGTGTAAATCAAGAAGGAGAAAATCCTAGCTGAAGCCTTTAGTTTACAACACCATGTAAAGATATGAATAAATAAAAGCCTTTTAAGCATACAAAAGAAGCATTCAATAAAACGAGCAAGTTTACTAAAACATGAATTCGATTAACTTTGGGGACTTTAAGCATGTGGAATAGATTGCAAGCAGGCAGTTTCTTGTCAGCGCCGTACCTAAAGCGGATCGGGAGAAGGTTAGAGCTAGAAGGCAATTAGCAAGCTGACCGGCCCTGCCGCTGACCAGCAAAGGGCCCTGCAAGACCGGAGCGGAAGTTCCGGGGTCCGCCCCGCCCCGCCCTGAACTGCGTCAGTTCCGGGACCAGGGCAGGCCAGTGTCGCTTCTAGGGCTGCAAAGCTGTTCGCTCAGGTTCCTAGCCGGCTGCTTTTTGGCGTCGGGTCCTCAGCATGGCTGCCTCCAGGGTTGAGAGCTGGGGAGCTGCCACACCCTCGTTTTGCTGACTGTTCCTGGAGTCTGTGTTCTTCTTGTCTTTCCTGGGCTACCCTAGCAGACATGTTCGCTAAGGCCTTTCGGGTCAAGTCCAACACGGCCATCAAGGGGTCGGACAGGTGAGGGAGAAAATGCTTTTGCTTCACTGAGAGAGGCCCCTACACCTCTAGGGGTGCACATGGAGAGGAAACCCCAGGGAGCCAAGCAGGGACGTCCAAAACATTTTGAGCATGAGGTGCGGAGTTATTATTTATCTCCCAGATGGTCTTTTGGACCAAGAAATAAAGTTTAGTCGGTGTGCACTGGGCTCAGACTAGGTGTTGTGGAAGATGTAAAATGAGGGAATACAGGCGCCCTGTCCTCCACGGAGTTTAGAGCCCGTGGGAAAACCCAGATGGGGTAACGAAAACTAAAAGCATTGCGGGAAGCGGGGGTGGGGGTGTGCTTACTGATTCCTCCTGGCGGGAGAGCGCCGCTGTGATAGGGAGAGGTGTTATCTTTCCAGTCTGTGTCGCAGACACAGATTTCTTCCTCAGGAATTTTGGAGCCAGCTCTCTTGGTGCCCCCGTGGCCTTTTAATCCTAAATTGACAAATTTGTCAGCTAGTGTGAGAAAGGAGTGGGGAAGGCATGTGGGGTCAGAATGGCTGGGTTTCCTATGTGAGACTAACTTTAGTCACTGAGCATCGGTGTGGAATGATAAGCCTAGAAAGTTGTGAAAGTAGACGAGATAATGAATAAGAAAGACAGTAGGGATTTTGGAAGGCAGAGAACAGGGCACCTTAAACCAGGCAGTCTTTCTTCAGCACTTAACGCATTTTATGGTCGTTCTGAATTTCAGTATTTATTAATGCCCATTAGGAAGCTAGTATTCATGGTGCCAGTGTGCTTTCTGCAGGAGAAAACTTCGGGCCGATGTGACCGCTGCTTTCCCCACCCTTGGAACAGATCAGGCCTCTGAGTTGATACCTGGGAAGGAAGAGCTAAACGTGGTGAAGTTGTATGCTCACAAAGGGGACGCAGTGACTGTGTACATGAGTGGAGGGAACCCCATCCTGTTTGAACTGGAGAAAAATTTGTATCCAACAGGTATGGCAACAAGATAGGAATGCCTAGACTACAGACCTTGAGGAACATGTGCTAAACTTTGTTGATTTGGTTTTGATACTTGTTTTCCGCCATCAACCTGCTTTTTCAGACAAACACGGAATTTCCGAACGCTATTTCCAGAAATTGCCATAAAAGGAATAAAAAGCAAACAAACAAAACCTCACAAAGAATGACAATTGCAAAGTTCTGAGATAAAGGAGTGTGAGAGCTCTGCGGTGTTGCAAAAGATGAAATTTCAGGGCATGTGAAGAAAATGCCCTGTAAATTGCTTGTAAACGGCTTTTCTTAACACAAGTGAAAACCTAGGCTGGGGAATTAAGCTAGATTAAGGAAGCCACTACAGCTGCATTAGTTATATACCTCACATGGGCTGCTTCACAGTGGGTTTTCGTAGGCTCTGAGTCTTTTTTTTTTCTTTTCTTTTTTTTTTTTAAATCTTTGTCACAGATCTCTTTTCCATAGCAGCTGACACTTTGTCAGTTGGGGCTTTTCCTCCAAGGTTGTCTGGCTGCAGCAGAGCAATGCAGTCTCTCTTTCTCTCTCTCTCTCTCTCTCTCTCTCTCTCTCTCTCTCTTTTTCTTTTTTCTGAGAGAGGGTTTCTCTGTAGCTTTGGAGGTTGTCCTAGAACCCACTCTGTAGACCAGGCTGGCCTCGAACTCACAGAGATCCTCCTGCCTCTGCCTCCCGAGTGCTGGGATTAAAGGTGTGCACCACCAATGCCAGGCTGCAACGCAGTCTCCTTAGGCCGCTCCTATCTCTTTCTCCAGGTTGTTGCTGTACCTGAAGACAAATGGAGACTTTTTTCCTACAGGAGTTTTATGCTAATCATTATGAAAATAGGAACTCAAAATATAAATATAGGAAAATTTCAAAATTTCTTACAGACTTGCTCAGTTTTGGGGTCTCAATTGTTTCTGAAGTCATGCATCGAAGCCTCTTTGGTTTCTGCCCCAAATTTTAGTTCACTGTGGCCATTTTCTTCTGGCAATCCCGAAGCAGCAGCAGATGCCTCCAAGTCTCTGTAGTAACCAGTTTCCAGGCGTCAGTAGGTCTCAGCTTTCATCCTGAAAGCAGTCTCCCTGGCAAACTTCTTTTAACCTCTATGACCTTGAGCTGGGGTGTTTTTGTTTCTCTTTCTGAATTCTGATTAAAGTGAGTGTGGTGTCAGGCTTTTCTGGATCTGCAGCGGGCGGTGTTTGTTAAGTGTTTCCTGGATCTCTTTTGGTACAGTGTACACACTGTGGTCATATCCTGATCTTCTGCCAGCCTTTACAACATGGCCTCTGGTACTTGATAAGCTGGTCGGGGGAGCAGGTAAGACAATTTTTCTATGTTACAGCTATGGCTTGAAATGTCTTCAGTAATTATCAGCCACCTTAATAGGGCTACTCTTTCTTGTGTTCATATGTTGAAAACTGTCTCCACCACCTTTGTGTGTGTGTGTTATTTCTTCCACTTAGCTGATCCATGAGTTCCCTGGACATCTGATTCTGTCTTAAGCCTTTTATAAGTAAAATGAAAGCGGTTTGTGATTGCCACATGCTGTACTTTAAATCAATAGGGAACTTTAGTAGCACCTAGTGCTTCAGTTTGTTAGTCCTTTGTCAAGTGGATGGGTATATGATAAAATAAAGGATGAAAATAAAGTGGGACCATTAAGTAAGCTGCTATGTTTTTATTTGCTACAGATTTGATGCTGCCAGGGGTAGTGGTGCCCCCTACTGGTCTGCCTGAGGTACAGCAAGGCGACCTCTGTGCCATTGCCTTGGTGGGGAACAGGTACTATTTCAGACAGCTGTGCCTTTTGTGTATGTGTGTCTTGGGGTGGGGAGGGGGGGTGGCTCAGAGGAACAGAGGTACAAGGGATGTGGAAGAAAATGACAGCTTCCAAAACTCATGGTCCAAGGTCTGAAAGAAAAAATAGGTTTCTCCGGAAGAAGCAGATAGTGGGCCCTTTGGTGTATGTTCCTGAGCCTGTGGGAAGCCTGTGAATCTAGGCAGAAGATGTTTGCAGTAACTTTAGATTTATAGAAGAATATAAGAGGTGGTGTAGAGTCCAGATACACACCGCGATTTCCAGCATTCTCAGCGGCCATGTCTCTTGTAACCACTCTAGTTCTCACAGCTGAGGAGTGTTATCCAATCCTGGGACAATGCTGTGAACACACTCGAGCTTTATTTGTATTTCTGCAGGACTTTTTTTTGAGTACCTCTTTCCATTCAAGGATCCAGTCTAGGATACCACATTGCACTTAGCTGTCCCTTCTTCTAGCCTCTTCTATATGTGGTGTTCTCTTGCCTTTGTCTTTCATCATCTTCACTGATGAAAGTGAAGTCTGATCAGTCTGATCAATTGCATCGTTAACTATGTTTTAATAACTTTATGGAAACATAGTTTACATATAGAGTTTGCCTATCTCAAATCCACAATCAGATGGCTGTTAGTGTGTTTACAGCTGTTGAGCCATCATGTTGCTGCTTTTTGATTCCAGGGCCCTATACATGCTACGCAAGTACTTCACTGTTGAACTGTTTCCCCAGCTCCTGCTGCTGCTTTTAATAAGGAGCCAGGAGTCATTGTGTGAACAGTTCAGTGAGGAGACTGCCTGACCTCTTCTCTTGCTTCCTTCCTAGAGCTCCTGTAGCAATCGGAGTGGCTGCCATGTCCACAGCTCAGATGCTGGCATCAGGCCTGAAGGGGAAGGGCTTCTCTGTGCTCCACACTTATCAGGACCACTTGTGGTAGGTGCATTGTTTCTTCTGTTTACAGGCAATGGGGGTGAGGTGGGATGGGTGGATGGGAGAGAACAAGAGCCTGAGATTCAGAGGTGCAAGTATTGGTCTAGGCACATCCTCATGCAGCTTGTGGACCTCAGACTTCCATCCGCTTGCCAACTGTGTGAAAATACATCTTTCTTATCCAGACAAGAAATTACAGACACTTTGGTTATTTTCTAGGCCTGGAATTGTCCCAAAGAATTGCTCTGGACAATTGTTTGCCCTGCCCTTCACTGTTGTGATGTACATATAGTACTAGTTAGTCTGACTTTGTCCATTTTAGACATCATTGGGTCCTGAGACAAGTGCTTCTGACTCCAGATCAATTTCTAGACAGCAGGATGATAACTGACTGTATGTTATTCCAGTATCACATCTGGAACACATGCCCTGGCTATAACAATCCACTTCAGATCCACATACCTGCTCTTTGTCTGGTTAATGTCACTTTCCTCCAACAGTAAATAGTGTTTTTCTCAAAAGCAGCAGGACTAGGTTTTCTGTGGGGGGATGAGCTAGGGGTAGGGGAAGGTTGAGATGGGGTACCATTATGTAGTTCAGGCTGACCTAAGAACTTGAAATACCCTGGTCTGAGCTTCCTAAGGGCTAGAATTGTAGGCATTTGCCACCAAGTCTGGTTCTGTAGCCAGGTGTTATAGCATATTGGTGTATATTCATTCTTTGTATTTTATCTTTTATGCTTTTCCTTTAATCTCTGTCTCAGGCTGCCTATAATAATAAATACTATAGGTGATCATTTCTTTGAGATAGGGATGAAATGAATATCAGTCTCCATTTTACAGATGACAAAGCTGAGGCAACTTTTCTGGGCCCAGAATAATTGAATAGAGTTGAGATGAGTGTACATCACTTGGACATTCTGGAAACCCCTGCCTTCTGGTGCTGTCTTTAAATGCCTGACAGACTCTCCCCCGACCAGGGTGGGTGAGTATTGTGGCTACTGCTTGGTGTTTCTGACATTAGATTTTTCCAGGAAATCTGGAGACAAGTCCTCTCCACCTGCCATTGCCCCATTGGCAGTGAATCCCACAGATAGCAATGAAGAGAAGGTGGACCTTAGTCTGCAAGGAAACCTGAGCTGCCTTACCCTGGAGGGAGAGGAGGAGAACAGGAAGGTTCATCACCCAGAAGCATCTGAAGACACCAGCTCCGGGGCCCAGAGCCAGGACTGTGTGGATGGCAAGCCCCTTCAAGGTGTGGCTTTGGGAGTGGAAAGCTCACACCTGTCCTTTAGATTAGAATGCATTGGTGCTCTGGGAGAGGAACACAGAACCCGTATTTGGGGTCATGCAATAGTTCTGTATATCTTCTTACAAAAATCATGCCCCTGGGTGCCTGTCTGCCTGTCACATAGTTTCCAGGTGTGAGCCCCTAGGGCTTCTGGTTCTGACTTCTCTGAATGAATGTTCTTGGCTTGGTGGCACTGTGGATTTGGTCTTTGCTGTAGGGCTAACCCTTACAGGGTCAGTGTTCAGGCGTCTGGAAAGGGCCAGTGAGATGTCTCAGCAGACAACAAGGGCCAGTCAGATGGTGCAACAGGCAATAGGGGACCAGTGAGATGGTGCAACAGGTAACAGGTGAAAGTACTTACTGTGCAAACCTGGCCACTGAGTTCAATCCCTGGAACAACCCATGATGAAAGGAGAGAAGTGACTCCTGAAACCAGTCCTCAGACTTCCACACATGCTGTAGTATCTCACACACACTCTCTCTCTCTCTCTCTCTCTCTCTCTCTCTCTCTCTCTCTCTCTGTCTCTCTCTCTCTCTCTCTCTAAAAAGTCTGTAGCCTGGGAGCGTTGGTGCCAAGGGATGGGGTCCATTTGAGCCAAGCTGATGAGGGATGCAGGGAGGGATGGAGAGTGTCCAGTGCTCAGACAAGGTGGGAGCCTCAAGGAGGGTGTGGTTTTCTTTTCCTTACAGAACAAATGGATGAGCTGTTACACCAGTGCTTCCTGCATGCCTTGAAGAGTCGAGTCAAAAAAGCTGACCTCCCTTTGCTCACTAGTACTCTCCTTGGCAGTCACATGTTCTCCTGCTGGTAGGGAAGGCACTGCTGTGGGTGGGGGCTGGTTGAGTGACATGCTATGAGAAGGGCAGAACAGAAAGTTGATCTGGCAAATAAATTAGGTTCTTGGCTTTAAAACCTTCCATTTTATCCAGGGGAAAGATACTAAGGTTAACAGTCCCAAGATTCTCTGACTCCTCTTTCTGCCAAGGTGTCTCTCATGAGTCAGGTACCATGGCATAGACTGCAAGAATCCTTGGACAGCCTTTGTCAAGAAGTTGCCTGTGCCGTTCCACCCTTCCACTTAGGAAAAGTTGTGCCTGGAGGAGAATAGGGTTTGAAGCCCACACCATTGAGAATGTAGCCACTAGGAAAGGGAGGGAGTGTTGACTTTGAAGATGGAGCCTTTAAGGTTCAGTTGCTACCTCCTTAGCATAGTTAACCAAAGCAAATTGCAAGTAGTTGAAGGGTTTTTCTGAGCCCAAATTTCTAATACTTCTAGGATTACTGTAAAGTTGCACAGCCTGGAGTATACCAGCTGCTTGTTAATACTGAAAGAGCAGGGTCTTTTCTGCATACCTCATAACCTGGTACTGTGGCTCATGCCTGTAATCCCAACACTTAAGAGGCTGAGGTAAGAAAATAGCAGTGAATCCAAGGCTAGCATAGGTTGTTGAGTGAGTTCCAGATCAGCCTGGGTTGCAGTGAGAATCTGTCTTAAAAAAAGAGGGTGCAGGTCTACCCCTACATGCATATATACACACAGCCTGCTCTGCCTCATAGCAGACAGTGTGTTCCTGAGACTTGCTGTGTTTTACAAGTGGTAATTAATCCCATCTCTTCCTGACTACACATGGCCCAGGGCAATTGTGGCATTAGGGTCCTTGGTAATTTGTCTTGCTCCTACTGCATTGCAAGTGGCTGGGAAACGGGGTTCTGGAACTTTTTTGGGGGCAGGCATTAGATTTGAGTGAGTTCTAGGACAGTCCCCCTGATAGTCACCCTGCTATTGAGTGCCAGGTTTTGAGAGAAGATATTAAGTTCCTGAGAAGAGGGAGGGGTCATAATTCTCATTAGGAACCTCTATTCCTAACTACCGTGAAAGTGCTTTAGGGCACGCATCAGTAGACTGCAAAGAGCCAGATAGTAAATAATTTAGTATTTCCAGGCTATGTGGCCTCTGTTTCAGGTCCTGTGCCATTGTGTACTAGTGTGACCAATGACAGCAGGTAGTGATGGGTGTGGCGGGGTGCGTTAGGCTCCAGAGTACAGTTTGCTGAACTCTGGTATAGACCTGGCTCCCTCAGTGTGAGGTAGCTGTTGGTAAGGTTCACTTTGAAATGGAACTTCTGAGGCCATTAGGGGACTCTCTGGTTTGAGAGAACTCTAATAAAGCTATGTCTGATTACAATAGTCACTAATTACATGTGGCCAGTTTAAATTAAGTTGAAAATTCAGTCCCCAATCTCAGAGTCTCAGTTGGTACATTTCAAGTGTTTCATAGTCACATGGATGACTAGTGGTTGCTTTCTTAGACACCACAGATAGACATCCCAGTGCCACAAAAGTGCTATTGGATAGTCCTGACTCGGAGTAGGCCATACTCCATGCCTGTCTCTGATACCACAGCTGGGCAGAGAACTCCAGAATGGTGGCCACTCTTTGACTGTGGGGGAGGAAAGACACAAGTGTCAAGCAGACACCAAAATTCACTTTAATTTAACTTGCCTTTTTATCTGTCCTAGCCCCAAAGGACAGCAACTGGACATAAAGAAGTCAAGCTATAAAAAGGTAAGAGCCCACACCTTCTTTGCATGTCTATACAGAGTCCTGTAAGGATGCATGGGAGATAAGATGGATGTGGGAAGCCCTGTAGACAGGGCTCAAGATACAACTAATAAGCCTTTTGATTCTAGGTATAATGGGAAGTAATGAAACTCTCCTTGAGTCAAGGCACCCACTCCTCTCTCCCTTTTGACCCCCTTCTATCTGATTAGAGTTAACAGACTTTATCAGTTGGGCAACTTTTTTAAAATTAATTTTATTTTTAATTAGTGTGTATGCATGAGTGCTGGTGCCAGAAGAGGCCAGATGCCCCTGGAGCTAGAGTTACATGCAGTTGTGAGCCACTGAACATGAGTGCTGGGAATCCAACTTGGGTCCTCCGCAAGAGCAGTGTGAGCTCTTAGGCACTGAGCTGTCTCTCCAGCCCCCAGTGTTCACTCTTGACCACCGAGCCATCTCTCTAGCCCTCTAGTAGCTTCTTGCTCCCCAACTTGCAGAAATGTGTGTGCTCTAGTTCCCACCTGACACTAGACCTTAGGTATTCTGTGTGTGGAGTCACTGAAGTCCCTATACTGGCTTCTCTCCCCAGCTCTCAAAGTTCCTGCAGCATATGCAGCAGGAGCAGATTGTTCAGATCAAGGAGCTGAGCAAAGGAGTGGAAAGCATTGTGGCTGTGGACTGGAGGCACCCGAGGTAAGTGTGGGACCTGTTACTGCAGCTCAGTTGGTTTTGGGACCTGGGCCACAGATTGGGGACCACCAAGGCACTGGTATAACATGTGCTTTTTCTCTTCTGCTGGATTTTAGGATCACATCTTTTGTCATCCCCGAGCCTTCCCTGACTTCCCAGACTGTCCAGGAGGGTAGCAGGGAACAGCCCTATCACCCTCCAGATATAAAATCCCTCTACTGTGTCCCAGCCAACATGACCCAGCTCTTCCAGGAGTCTGGCCACAAGTGAGTTTTGGAGAGCAGCCCTTTCCTGCCTACATGGTGTCTGATGCACTTTCCCGTCATCCTGAGTAGTGTTTTCCTGTGACTGGCAAATCTGCTCTGCCCATCTTCTTCTAAATGTAGTGTCACACTTTCCTCCCTGGGGATGGCCTTTGGGTTAGGTAAATGAGAGAGTAGGCCTCTCCATCTGCAGCTGCACTTCAAGTAGCCCTGCTCGCCTCCCTCAGGGAAAGAAGAGAAAGGCGAGAGCCAGGGAAAGAGCCCTGCTGAGCAGGAAGTATGAAGTTTACAGTTGGACCCCAGGTACAGCTTGACCTGACCTCTGGTTACTTCTTTCTTCTCCTAGGAAGGGGAACGCGCTTGAGGGCAGTGAGGTACGCAGGATCATCATTGACTATGCCAAGAAGAACAACCTGGTGGATGCAGACAACAGAAAGTACGTGGGCACCAAGAATGGAGTCTGTCTTGTCAGGGCTTCATTTCTAACAGACAGACATTAAAGGATGCAGGAAACAGGCTGGCAGAATGGTTCAGTGAGTAAGGAAGGCACTTGCTGCCAAGCCTGACTGCCTTCAGGGTCCACATGGTAGAGAGAGAACCAACTCCTGCAAAGCGTTTACATGTACACTTAGCATTGTGCACTTAGAGACACACACACAGGCACAGAGATAAATGAATGTAGTAACTTTAAAAACAAAGGACAGGAAGGATTCTGGAATGGAGAATAACTATCACAGCATCTTAGAAGTAGGCAAGCCCAGCGTTTATAAACCTCAGGTCGATTGCATGCTGTCTGGATGGACCCTGAGCTGAGTACACACGTCTCACACATGTTCAACACTGATGTTCAAGTGCATATGGCTATTGTCAGGAAAAATGCAACCTTGAAAAAATAATCACAATCATTGTGGCTTTTTGGTATGATTTTTCTTATAAACGGGCACAGGTGGCATGCTAACAGATAAGTTGCACTATTTTTCTATCCTAGACATCCTTATGATTAGAGAGGCCTACACATGAATCTAAAATATCTAAAATATAATCTAAAAGTGCCCCACTTTTAATAAAGGTTTTATTTATTTGTTTTGAATTGCTATGTATTTTGTGGTGTAGGGAACAGAACCTATGGCTTCTAGAAAGCTGGATGTGCACTCTGCCACCTCACCTCCAGCCCTGAGTTCCACTTTAACTATATGGGTCTCTGGGGCCTTATGTAACAGCTTATTCCAAGTACACATTGTAATGACTGTAGCGTTTAGCATTTACATCCATCCTTCCTTGCTAGCCTGCTGACTGAAATTAAGCCTTAAAAGATAGGAGAACTTGGCTCATAGCAGAACTGAGCCAAGAATCCTGGTTGCTCCTTCCCACATTTCTTCCACCATTTGCTTGCCTCTTTGCCTTCCCATCAGTGGGCTTTACTGCCCAATGGCCTCTGGTCACATAGCTGAGTGGTCCTGGATGGCACAGAGCACACAGGTGATGGATGCTGTCCCTTTGGAATGGTTGAGTCTTATGTTGTCTGAATGTATCTTTTTTTCCTTTTAGTCTGGTGAAATTGGATCCTATCTTATGTGACTGCATCTTAGAGAAAAATGAACAGCACGTGGTCATGAAGCTGCCATGGGACTGCCTCCTGACCAGGTAATAGGGAGTGGCAATCCCTTCCAGCTTTCCTGAACTGCTGCCTGTACCTTACAAGCCTGAGTGCCTGAATCCATGTCCTCAGAAGCCAAGTGACGCAGGCACACCTCTGCCATCATCCTCTGAGGAGACGGAGACAGACACAAGAATCCTTGGAAGCTCATGGGTCAGATAACCTCATGTGTGCAGCAGTGAAAACAAAGGGACCATGTTTTAAAGAGGGCAGTAGTTGAGACTGCCTCCACACATGTTACCTTGCCATGCCGGTGCCTGCAATGATTCACATGCGCACACACAGACATACATGCAGTCACTTCATACATAAAAAAGACCAGGTCAAAAGTGCATTGCTGGAACATGTGAGCAATGTGACATGGCACTTGGAGGCAGGAAGCTGGTACAGTATTTTTTGAGGTGGGTAGTAACCTCCACAAAGCAGACAGTAGATTCCCAGGAAGCCAAGCAAGTGGAGAATTTCTAGGCACTCAAGTCACTGTTGTTTTCTTCTCTGAATCAGTGGGTGTCAACTTTGGCTTTACTTTGGGGATCTTTGAGACACTGAGTTCATTGGTCGGTGTGGTTCAGCTCCCCAGGTGATCTCAGTGCTTCTAAACTGCATCTAGATTACAAATAAGTGCCTTAAAAACTCTCACTCAGTGCTCATGGTAGCAGGGTGCAGAAAGACCTGTTTATAACTGGAACTCCCATTTTAGGTGTTTGCAAAATATGCAGCCTGCCTACCAAGTGACGTTTCCTGGACAGGAACCCATTCTGAAGAAAGGAAAACTCTGTCCAATTGACATCACCCTTGCACAGAAGGCTTGTAATAAAAAGGTAATTTAGAAATATGGGGGCATTGACTGTGACTCAGGGCAGAGCATTTGCTTTGCCTGTGTTAAGGCCCTGGCTTCCATCCCTTCCACCACCCAAAAAAGATCCAGTGTTTGGGGATGGTCACTTAGTTTCCTTGCTAAGTTCTAGTTTCCTGATTTGATGGGAGCCTTTTGGATTGGATGGCCCGTGTGTGTGCCTGCACTGACCCTGGGTGGGGGGTATCATTAAGCAATCCCTCCTGCCTGCCCTCTGGGATTTTGTACTAAGAAACTTGCTAGAACTTGTTTCAAAAGTGAAGAATATTTTAGTTTACGTTTTTACTTGGTACTTTATAGGCCTTCATCTCTTAAACAATCTACCTCTTGGGCCTTGCTCAATAAAAATAACTTGTAAAAATTTGCTGAAGGAGCTGTGTTTAGTTTGCCAACACAAAGTTGTAGGGAACAAATTAAAACTGCCTTCAAATTTGTAGAAAGATGTTCTCTTCGAAAGGAATGTCCTTGTTCTGCATGTGTAGAGGAGAAAGATGGATAGAAACCCCGAGAACACACAGGCTTGGGCTCAAGACAGATCTGTGCAGAGTATGTGGTTCTGGGCCTAGGCTTTGGGTTCCAGTGTGGCCTTCTCTCATCTCTGAACTTCCTAGTGCCTCAGTTTCCTTCTGTGAAGAATGGAGGTAATACCTGCCCTGTACCTCAGTGACCAAATGCAGACTGTGTGTAGGCCAAGCACTTAGCAGGAAGGAAGCAGTGCCTAAATGAGAACCAGTCATGGTAACCTTAATTAGCAACAATTGCATGCCAGATAGTATAACAAACACCTTTGTGTATATTAAGCACAAATCTTTTATTAATAATACACCATCCAAAGATGAAGTAGGTGTTGCCTGAAATGAGTTATTTCCTGGAGGTCTGCAAGCAAAGATTTTTGTGACCATTTGTGGGGAGATACAGCCAGGGTCTCAGGGAGGAAGCTGACTTTCTAATGTGATCTCTAAAGCCTCACGTTGTGGAAGACTGTGTCTGTAGTCCTTGCAAGCATAAAGTTTTTTTTAAAGGCACTGTGGAGAGCAGCCCCTCCAGGCCATGTGAAGGTGGTCCTTTATCATTGGTAGTTGTGAACTAGAGAAGTTGTTGAAGAGCAACAAGAGGAGGACTGTAATTTTACATGTTTGTTTTTAATTTTGTCTTGCCTCATGCACATCTGTGTGCCATGTGTGGTGGTGCCTGTGCCTGTGGAGGCCAGAAGAGGGCGTCAGGTCCCCTAAGACTGGAGTTAGACAGTTGGGAGCTGCCATGCAGGTGCTGGGAGCTGCACCCGAGTCCTCTGGAAGAACATTCAATATTCTTCACCACTAAGCCATCTCTCCAGCCCGGGATTGTGATTTTTATAACTTTAAAAAAAGGATTTATTTATTTATTTCTATTTTGTGTGTATGAGTTTTTCATATGTTTGGATACTACATGTATGCAGTTCCCATAGAGGCCTGAAGAGGGTGTTAGATTCCCCAGGGAATTGGAGTTCAAGGGTTTTTAGCTGTCCTGTAGGGACAGGGAATTAAGCTTCTTTGGAAGAGCAGCAAGTGTTGTTAACCATTGAGCCATCTCTCCAGCCCTGATTGTGATTTAAAAAAACAAAATAAAACAAAACAATAATGCTTTCCTTTTTGTCCTAAAGTCATGTTCTTCTCATTTGTTGCTAATAATGGGAAAGCGTAATGCTTTTGACTAGCTATGTGATTTAAAGAACTGTTGTCAGGTACAAGTATTTTATTATCATTATCATCATTATCATTGTTGGGGTTGGGGAGGGGAAGCATGCATGCTACAGTGCATGTATGGAGGTCAGAGGTCAACTGTGTAGCGCTGGCTCTCCATCTACCTTTTGTGGATCACAGACACTGAACTCCAGTTGGCAGGGTTGTGCAGCAAGCACCTTTATCCACTGAGCCATTTCCCCTGTTACTTCTGCTGTTAGGTTTAAAACAGTTCTTATCTTGCAGGGCCTGGTGGTACACGCCTCTAATCCCAGCATTCAGGAAACAGAGACAGGTGGATCTCTGTGAGTTAGTAGAGGCCAGCTTCATCTACATAGTTTGAAGCCAGCCAGAGAGACATAGTTGAGACTCTGTCTTTAAAAAAAAAAGAAAAGAAAAGAAAAAGAAAACAGAGTCCTTAATCTTTGGAGATACATATACTGTAATATTTATATATGAAATGATCAGAAGTATGAGGATTTGCTGTAAAGTAATCTAGGAGCCATAAATCTAACTGGCCTGTAAGTTGACAACTATTGAAATTGGTAATGGATATGTAGGAGTCCATTACACTCTTGTACTTTTTTGAGACTGGGTCTCATTATGTAGCCTTGACTGACCAAGAATTTTGCAGTATCTAGACCAGGCTAGCCTCAACTCTTAACTCATCTGCCTCTACCTCCTGAGTGCTGGGATTAAAGGTGTGTACCACCATGCTTGGCACCATATTATTGTACTTTTATTTATGTTTAAAATTCTCCATGGTTAAAAACCCTAAGTTAAATGTTATAGTAGGATAGAGTGTCTATGAACATGGATGAGATAGACAGAAAGACACCGGGGTTACAGCGATAGAGAACTATAGTGGGAAATTACCAATACGGAGTCAGGTAGAAATATAAGGGTATTTAATAGGGAAAAGCCTTACTTACAGAGCAACCTAGCCAGCCGGCGTGGTAGAGGTCTGTACAGCAAGAAGCAAAGAGAAACTGAAACCGAAATGCAGTCACACTATGTCACTCTGACCACGCCCTCACAAGCCTGGTCAGGCACACCTGTAGCCAGCCCCTAAGAAGGCGTGGCTACAGCTTCCCCTACAGAGAACTGTCGGGGACCGTGGGTGAGGTGGCTGCCGAAAGGAGAGAGCATACCATGAATGAACACCATCATTACTGTCCCCAGGTGACTGTGGTCCGGAACTTGGAGACCTATGGTCTTGACCCATGCTCAGTGGCTGCCGCTCTCCAGCTGCGATGTCAGGCCAGCACCATCGTCTCTCCTGCCCCTGGGGCCAAAGACAGTCTACAGGTGCAGATCCAAGGAAACCAGATCCACCACCTTGGCCAGCTATTGCTTGGTAAGTATCCCTCCTGAGAAGACACTTTGGGCTGGCTTGGCAAAGATCTTGCCGCTGACTCACTCGAGTCTAGTCATCATACCTATATCTACACAGTGTTTACAGTGGCTCCACTTCATAGTGGTGCAGAAACGGTACATTCCAGAGAAACTGTACTTCAGATTTTGAAGTCCGAACTCTTCCAGAACTAGCATTGGCTAGAAAGTCTGTTGAGATGCTAGGTAGTAGCAAGAGCCCCTCCCCCATCAGTCATGTGACCCAGGTGGGGCCCAACCAGAACGACATACTGTGCTGAGCCACTTAGCTAAGGTGTTCTCTACATTAGCTGGATGATGTGCCTTTTCAACTTACCATATTTTCTCTCTTTTTTTAATAATTAAAAGAATTTTATGTATATGGGTGTTTTGCCTGCATGTATGTCTGTGCACTGTGTGTGTGCCTGGTGCCCTCAGAAGAGGACACCAGATCCTCTGAAACTGGAGTTGTAGATGTGAGCTATGGTTGTGAGCTGCCATGTGGACTCTGGGAATTGAAAACTGGATCCTTGGAGGAGCAGCAAATGCTCTAACTGCCAAGCAATCTCTCCAGCCCCTCGATTTGCCATATTTTCAACTCACAATGGGTGTATAAGGGGACATAACCTTATAATCAAGGAGCAACAGTCTGTATATTCACTTGTACACACACTTGAGTTTGTAGCGGTGAGCAGGAGAGGAAGCCAGAGTTTGAACCTGACCTTTGGCCCTTTCCAAGATTACTGCTCTCTCCATCATACATATTCTTAGCTTTCCTCCTGATTTCCCTTTCTATAAATCATGTTGTGAGTGCCCTAGCTGTGCCTGGCGTTCAGCTGGGCTGTGGAAGGACATCTCCTTGGTTATAACTGTGCTGCAGGACTGTTGGCCTGTTTTGCAGATGGGAGAACTGAGGCTCAGAGAGACACAGTACCTTGACTGGAGTTCACGTGACTCTGAGTACTGTAGCTGGGCTCTGAATCTTTTTATTCTTTAGAACCGAAGTTGCTTTGATTCTGTCTGGGTCTCTAGCTTCTATGTTGTCCTTCACTTAAGCCCTCCTGCACCTCTGCCTGGCTCACCTTTCTAAACTAAATAACCCCATCATTCCCCCTAGAAGGGTGTCTGTCTTACCCATGCCTTCCTTCTTCAGGAATAAGCCCCTCCCATCCTGCCCTGTTTGTCCTGCAGCCTCCCCCTAGCTCCCAGACATCCTAATTCCACCCCAGCCAGTTTCCTTCTGTTCTCACATACACCGGGCACTTGACATCTACCTGCTTGTACCTGGCTGTCCCTTGTCTTGTGTACCTTCCAGTATCCCTGGTCTGTCTGTTCTTACTGGGTCACTGGCACAGCTTGGGGGTAATACCCATTTCCCTTTGAACATGGTAAAAATTACTAATATTAGTGCTGCTCAGCTGTGTTGATGTTTCTGGTTAGTGTCTGGAGCTTGGCTAATTTTTTCTCTAATGTCTGAACCCTCTGCAAAATAGAACTTGAAATAGATCTTGCCTTTCCCATGCCTGCCTCACACTCAAGAGACTAGCACATAGCACATGCTCAATAAGTAGAGTTATCTCATGACCTATGACAATCCACAGCAATTGACTTCCAAAATTGAGCTCTTTTATGTGGAGAGCCACATGTGGTGGAGTGGGACTAAGAAGAGACAGAAGAAAATAGACAAACACACACATGAACTGACACACATCTCTCTTTGTACATCTAGATCAGCAGCTCTCATTGTGTGTTGCAACCACATGGGGGAGAACAACCCTTCCTAAGACTGTTGGACAACACAGTGATATTACAACTTATAGCTAGCAAAATTATAGTTAGGAAGTAGCAATGAAAATAATTTTATGGTTGGGGGTCACCACAACATGAGGAGCTGTATTCTTTTGTTTTTTTATTTTGGTTTTTCAAGACAAGGTTTCTCTGTGTAGCCCTGGCTGTCCTGAAACTTGCTCTGTAGACCAGGCTGACTTCAAACTCAGATCTGCCTGCCTCTGCCTCCCATGTACCAGGATTAAAGGTGTGCATCACCACCGCCCTGCTGAGGAATTGTATTAAAGGGTCACAGCTTTAGCAAGTTTGAGAAGCACTGATGTAGATGGTAGCTAGTAGGGTGTAAATGACCAGAATATACCGTTCAACTACTGTGTGTGGTAAATGGCCCATCCAGACACTAGTGAGCTTGAACAGGATGTAGAAGGTGGGTCATGTGTTGGAAATTATTGAGACAGATCCTTGACAGCAGGGATGAGCGCACTGGAAGTTTAGTGGACAAGGAGGGGCAGGAGGTTACAGGGCCCAGGGGACATGGAATACAGGGAGGGGCAGTAAAGACTTGAGACCAGGCTTGGCTGAAGATTTTCTTTTTGGATTGTAGAAGAGTATCGGCTCCCTGGAAAATACATCCAAGGCCTAGAAAAGGCCCCCAAACCTGGCAAGAAGTGACAGACTCATTTTATGCAGTGGATCCCATGGGAACCCAGGTTCTGAGCTGGTAATTGATATGAGTATTTTCAACTTTTACAAATAAAAACTGTAATTCTTTACTGAAAGCTTTTATTCTAATCTAAATTTGAATGCCCGTGTCCTTCACTTAGTGAGAATGTCCACATGGTTTCTGTGATTTAGTTCATGCCCTGTGTTAAGACCAGGGCAGCCCATCCAAAGCTTAGCAGGCAGAGCCTTCCTGCTTTAAAGCCCCTCTACCAGATAGACAGACCCAGCTTCCTACTTAGTGTTCCTATGACCTAATTAACCTCCTAGGCCTGCCAGCCCCTTCATGTCCCATAGAAAGCAGCCTGGCTATTCTCTGCCCTCAGTCACAGCAACACAAGGAATGAACTCTAAGCAGAGCAGCAGCATTTAGGCCAGTAGACATAAGAACAGTGAGACCAGAACATGGGTTCCTATGCGACCATGCTTCTTCCCCAGCTGGATACAGCAAGCTGCCATTATTGGCTAAGTTTGGTAGCTTTGTTATAGTGACGCCTTGGACAACAAGTGCCTTCTTTAGCCCCAGCTTCTTGTTGGAAGCTTGGGTTGTTGGAAGGGCTCTTCAGCAGTCTTCAGAGGTCTCAGGAAGAGGAGCTCTATTGGTCTGATTACACAGGAGTTACTGGATGCCAGAAATGGTTCCACCTTGGTTTGTGCAGGTCTTGTCTGTAACTAGGGCTCTCTATGTAAATAGGAATAAGAGTGGTGCAATTGTAAACTCCTTAAGAGTTCTTGGATTTTACCAGTAAAGAATTGCTTTTTTTTTTCTTTCTCATCCTTTTAAAAACTGAGATGAAAGAGACTTGTTCATCTACTGTCCACCAAATCACCTGTTTTAGATCTGAAAAGAGAGGGGTGTGTGTAAAAAATGTATGTGACAACTCCCACCTCTTGCTGTGAAACCAAGAACAGGCCTTTTCACTGGGTAATAAACTTCTTAATCTCACTAATCCTCTCTCTACCAGCATGCACGCACTGAACATGAAGTACCCTCTAGAAGCCAACTCTAGCAGGATCCTATTACAACAAAGCGTTTGTACAGGCTGTCAGGAGTGGAGTGTGTGCAGAGCTAACAAAGGACCCTTGCATGCATACGTATGACATGCAGCACTGTACTGCATTCTCATAGGCTCATCTATGAGAATGATGTTTTGCATGCTCTTGGAAGGTAGTGCTGTAGAAATCGATGACTTCCCTGCTAAAGGCACAAAGCCTGTAAGGATCTGCACTTCACTGTGGTTCAGCCTGTGCTCTGCTGTGGTGATGTGCTGTCAAGGCCTTTGCTGGGGTGTGTTTTCCAGGAATACTGATATATTTGCACTGAATCATCTTCCTATTTCCCCTATGAATGGCATGGAGATGTGGAAAAGGGTGGAGCAGAGTCAGACCATGGAACGGAGTCTTTTTATGCTAAGCCAAATAATCTGTACCAAGAATTTATTAATGCCATGCTACAGTGAAGTGAGTCCAGTGAAAACCAGAAACTGCTTCATTCCCATGCCCCTTCTGGTAGGTGGACAGATGTTACAGATTTACATAGTGATTGGCTGAGTTTTCGTAATTGTTTTTGGTGGTGGGGGCGGCTCCTATCTTAGGTTTCCCCTTCCTCTCAAATTCATGGCCTCTTTTTCTGTGCACACACACACACACACACACACACACACACACACACACAAAACGTAAATATTATAACATAACGAATATATAAATTCAACCTGCTCTACTTGAATATATCATTTCAGGGTTGACCACCAGGTATTGGATAGCCAGTTACGGAGCTCATCCCTGGGGAAGAGTATTTCTCCCACTCTCAACATTCCGTGGTTAATATAGTTCTTTGTCTAGCTGTGGGGCTCCATGAGATTCCCCCATTCATGTTGGCCAGTTTTTAGCACCAGACATGATTTCCCTCTTGTTGAGTGGGCCTTAAGTCAAATTAAACAGGGGTTACCACCAAGATGAGAGTGCCACTATTAATACCCTTAGGGATATTTTGCCATGCTGGTTGTTATGGTTCATAGGTGTTACAACTGGGTAGGGCTATTGATTGCTTCCTCTCTTGGAAACTTGAATAGCCCCCCAACCTGTCCACTTTTACTTTCATGGTTTTTGGTTTCTGCAGCAGTTATTCCAGGTTATAATTTCACTTCTGAAGATTTGGAGCTGGGAACCACAGGTGAGAGAGAACATATGATGTTTGTCTTTCTGGGTATGGGTTACTACTTTTTTTTTTTTTTAAAGATTTATTTATTATGTACACAGTGTTCTGCCTACATGTGTGCCTGCAGGTCAGAGAGGGCACAGATCTCATTGAGATGGTTGTGAGCCACCATGTGGTTGGCTGCTGGGAATTGAACTCAGGACCTCTGGAAGAGCAGGCAGTGCTCTTATCCTCTGAGCCATCTCTCCAGCCCCGGGTTACTACTTATTATGCTCTTTTCTAGTTCATCCATTTACCTGAAGATTTCATGGTTTCACTTTTCTTTACAGCTAATTCCATAGTTACAACTATATTCCATTGTGTATTAGAGTATATGTACCTCGTTTTCCTTATCCGTCCATCAGTTGAAGGACATTTAGGTTGTTTCCATTGCCTAGTTGTGAGTAGAGCACCTGTGAACGTTGCTGAGATGTATCTGTGTAGTAGGATGTCGAGTCTTTTGGGCAATGTGCCAAGGAGTGGTATAGCTGGACAATATGGTACGTTTATTTTTGGATTTTTGAAGGTTCTCCACACGGATTTCCAGAGTGGCTGTATCAGTTTGCAGTCCCATCAAAAGTGAATGAGGATTCCCTTCTCCTCACATTCTTTCCAGTATTTGTTGCCAGCTTGACTGGCAAAAAATACAAATACTGATTTGTATTTCCCCAAATGCTAGGGAGAATGAGCATATTTTGAAATATTTCTTAGCCGTTTTTATTTCATTTGAGAAATCTCTATTTGGTTCCTTAGTCCATTTTCTGAATGGGCTGTTTGCTTTTTTTGACTTTTTGAATTCTTTATTCTAGATTTTAGTCCTTTGTCAGATGTATATCTGGCAAAGATTCTTCCATCCTGTGGGCTTCCTCTTCCCTTGATTGGTTTCCTGAATTGTTGGCTTTTTTCTGGGCAAATGGAATCCTTATTCAGGAAGTCCTTTCCCCTACACCTATATTTTGTAAGATACTGCTTATATTTCATCTAGCAGTTTCAGCATGTCAGGTCTCACATTTAGGGCTTTGATCCATTTGGAGTTAGTTTTTATGCAAGAGGATGGAATCAGGTGGGTGGGCCACGTGTCTGTCCTGGCCAAGGCCTGCAGGTTGGAGTCTGTGTGGCAGGGATGACCAGACTAAGCTGGTACACTGGATGTGGGGCTCAGGCTGGACTGGGGACTGGGCATGGTGCCTGGAGTAGGGGACTAGACAGACCCACCTGGCCTGGACCCTGGTGTAAGATGTGCAGGATCAGAGAGGGTAGATGTCAGCTAATTCTTTAAAGTGTTTTATTGTAAGCAGGTGTAGTGGCAGATACCTTTAATCCCAACACACAGGAGGCAGAGGCAGGTGAATCTGAGTTTGAGGGCAGCCTGGTCTACATAGTGAGTTCCAGGACAGCCAGGGGCTACACAGAGTGTATGGGACACATTTGCCACAGCACACATATAGAGGTCAGAAGAAAATTTTCAAGAGTCTGTTTTCTCCTTTAGATCAGGTGGGCAGGCTTGGCAGCAGCTCCTTATTCACTAACCATCTCATCAGTCCTGGGATTGACTGGCTAATTTTAAGGATGTCTGGTGGAGAGCGGTAGATGCTCCATGCATTGCATGATTGATGCATGAGCAGCACTGGAAGGCAGTGGTTTCTCTAGTTAACTTATGTGGCGGCTTCTGTGAATTCAAAGATACTGCTTTGCTGGAAATCAGAGGGTGCCAAAATGAGGGCTGCTTGGTACCAGTTCAGCCTTCCCATGGCTGAAATCATCAGTGACACATTAGCATCTTAGTTTTAAGTAATTCCAGAACAGAGTTATTGCTTACGTTTGTAGCCAGAAAGCCCCTGCTCTTTTCTAACTCAACATGTGCGTCGCTGTCAGTCCCCTCCCCACCCCAGCACTAGGGAGATGGAGAAGAGGCAGTTTGGACAATCTTCTCAAAAACATCTGGATAAGTAGCCTTTCTTCCCAGCTCACTACAGAAGAAAACTGGGCTCTGCCAAGAAATGTACCTACTGCTGCTCCATACCGCACACCAGCTCAGCTCCCATAAGACGAAGTTCAGTGAGGACGTTTCCAGTGAATTGTTTTTGCAGTAAGCTTTTATTACTCATTAAAAAACATATATAAGAAAGACATTTAGAAAGAAAATATTCTCAAAACAACACCCACAGAACAATACAACCATAGAAGGCACTACCAGCAGTTACACCCAGCTCTGGGACTGAAGGAACTTGACCCTTCCCAGAGTCTCAACCTCAGTAGAGGTCCTGTGTCCAACTGCTTAAAGTCTGAATTTTACCATAGTTTTCTGAATAAACACATTTTCTTTATATATAGTTATATGCCTCTATGTGATATACACACAAACACACACATATATATATATATATATGTA